AGACAGACAGACAGACAGACAGACAGACAGACAGACAGACAGACAGACAGACAGAGAGAAGGGGGAAGGTAGCGGGAGAGAAGGAAGGAAAGAGAGAGGTAATCTAAAAAGTGGTTTCAAAAATTAAAAAGTTAAAATTATATTATCGAAAGGCGGGACGCGCTTTGATCTGTATGTGTTTGCATTCCGTAAATAGAAGCGTGGCTTTATGCTTTGGGCAACTATCAGACTCCTAAATCACACAACAGAATATCAGTGTGTCAAGTAGTCATCTTGACTTGACAAATTAAATCTCATCGTGACACAAACGCCACTTCTGTGCACGATCTCGTGATAAAACTCCGGCAGGAGATAAACAGACAAAAAACAGGAGACCGACACCTTCCAGAGTGGTAAATCACCCACATCTTCGAGAAAAAAAAAAAACGCCATAAAAAAACCCACGTAATTTTCCTTTACAGTCAGACACCAATCTCCTCAAACTAAGCTGATCTCTATTAAAAGAGATTGTAATTATCATTTTCCCCTTTACCAGATTTTGTGCTAAACGTATCTTATAAAACCCTCGTGTTTAATTAATCTGTAGGCTGTATTTTTCATTCAGTCTGTTTTGATTCTGTTTCTTGTTGGACATAAGGTCGTGTTCTTCTACGTCCTTTGCAGACTCGATGCTGGTGGTTCTCGTGGCCTAGAGGTTAAGGTGTTGGCCTCTCATTCAAAGGTCCCGGGTTCGAATCCGGGGAGCGACCGAAACATTTTCTTCTCTACATTTGTCTCCTTTCACCTCCTTCCCCGACCTCTAGCAATGTTCTGTCGTCTGCTTTCGTCTCCTCTTTCTGCCCCCGCCTCCTCACCTCCTTTGTCCCCTCCTCTGGGCTCCTGACTCCTTCTGCAGCCTTTCTCTTGCTACTCCTTGGCTCCTCACTGCTGTCTTTCAGCCACACCCCTGATACTCCGGTAGGAAAGATCTACACCTAGCCTTCTCGGACAAGGGCGAAAAATCTTGGAAGGCCCGTGTGCAAGTTGCG